TTCATTGTGTGATGTGTGAAATGTAGCAGCCTACTCAAATGACAATTATGCATCTAAAAAAATCAGCATTTCGCAACTCAATAATCTCTTTTTGATCACCCGGGACAGAGGATGGCTTTGGCTAACGTTAAGTTGATGTAGGAATGAAGTTACGGTACATTCCTTGCCAAAAAATTGCCATGGCAACAAAGTAGAAGAGGCTTGAATGATTGCACGACGTTTAGTTTCGCTCAAGCTGGTAAGGCAATAAAGTACGTTAGCTTTAGTGGGGATGCATAAACACTGCAAACTTATTAAGATTTTAGTAATTGTTTCCAAAACCACATTTTAGCGTAGGATATGTAAAGTATGATGCAAAAACAAAGGCGATGACGTTAAGGAAACGCTTCAAAGACAGTTGTAAACGGCTTTAGACCATAAGCTGCACGCTTGCATTCGTAAGATGTGGGCATGATATTTGAAATACCGACCAAGACCGATTCGTTCACGTGATTTGAAAAGGCCAAAGTCTGGTTGCGTAAGCATACACTCAGTGGTCGCATAGACGAGCGGCTGAACGGCGCCCTAGTCCCATTCCAAGAGATCGATGTTGAAATAAAACATTCTAAATGCCGTTAGATCACCGCCTAAAGTCTACTATTCTCTTCTGATACACCAAATTTTATGTGCCAAAACCAAAGCCAGCACGATGCAAATAGGAAGGTTCGAAGTGTTAATAGTACTTCGAAAACTCTTTAGTCATCAAGTGAAAGGTAAAAGGCGCCTGGTCACAATTTAAAAAAGCAGGACAACCCCGGACCGGGTTTGTGACTTAGGACAACGACTTCTCAATGGGTCAAAAATTGCATACCTTTTTCAATTTCTTTTTGTTTTTCCGTTCGAAAAGTTATTTGCACGTTTTCCATGTTGTCCTGCATGATTTTACGTTCCTTTTCCCACAATTCCGCCTTTTCACGTTCACTTTCAGCATGTTGCTCCGAGAGCTTCTCGATTTGCGCTTTAAATTGAGCTAAAATGCACAAGATGGTTCTTACTGAACTAAGAACCAAGAACCGCGGTTTAATATTAGCCTTCATCTTAGGTTCAATTCGCCTAGCGGTAAGGTTTTAGTGAGAGCATCATATGCACAATGATAGAGTAAAAAGTCAATTTCACAGAAAATAGCAGAACACAATGGTTCGATGAAGACCCAACGGTTTAGCATATCACCTCAGTTCGGGAGCCTATGACAAGCCCATGGCCCGCTTTGCGTCCAGAAATAGTTAAGTTGAAAATAATATTCGGAAATGAAGCGTCTCTCATACAAATAATGTCAATCTGAAATGCATCACAGTACCAAATTGGGCAGACCCAACAACTTTGAGGATCGGTTGCATAAGCATTAACCCTCGTCCATTTTGTAACTGACCTTTTACGCAAAACACCATCTACTTAACCATTGACAAGTATATTGGTCCAGTTACAAGCATTAAGCCATAAACGGGTAACAGCTTGCAATACCCTACCTTCCTCTTTTACAGCTTAAGTAACAATTACTGTTATAAATGAATTGACGTCAAAAAGTTGAAAGAACATCCTTACTTTTCGACGCAAAAACTCACAGTAAAGTCTAACACAGGAGACTAAGGAATGAGCAAAACTAAAAGCTTCTTATAAGGTTAAGATCAAAGAACGAGCATAGTCTCCATTGACAAGATTGTGTTTTAAACACTAATTTTCAATTCCATGCCATATGCCACCAAAGTAATGTTGAGATGCTACCTCCCAGACCTTCTCCCAACGAGTAATTAGAGAATGAATATTGTGCTCTGCAACATTACCTTCCTGAGCATTATCAAAACCTTTTAAATTGAGAGCTACATTCACCAATTACAAAAACTAAACGTTTGGTTCCCTTTATTCTCTGCTCACCAGTGAAGCAGCACGATAATTCACATCTCCGTTGCATTAAAATCCAGTGGAGAAAAGCCAGGACACTATAGCACCAAAATCGCCTCAAGAAGTTCCAATAAAGTAGTACCAAGGGCACTCAGCGTAAAGCTATTGAGGAACTCGAAAGTATAATGAAACCAATTTGAAAAAACACAAAAAGAGAAGATAAAATGAAATGAAACAAAACTCTAGCAACTTACCACACTCTTCTAAACGCAATTTCAGCTGAGATCTGAGCAAATCCTCGCGGTGAGAAGTTTCCGTTATGAGTCTATCCTTCGAGTTTAGAGACCACCGCGCAAAGATGCAAAGAACCTCAAAGACCTTGTTCCACTCTGCTAAATTGGCGCTGAAGCGTTGCCTCAGGGCCAATAATTGCCCCTCACAAGGTGAATGGGATGCCGCTTTGGTTTTTGGGATAAAGCTGGTGGGTGCACCAACGCGCCGGATCGAGATACTAGCTGTGGTCGTACGAGAGGTTTTCCGTAGAGGCGGATTCGTGTCTAGACACCTGCGCGGCGTGGGACCCTCTCGGAGTTCAGCCAAGTGATCTGTAGTTTCCATGTAAAAGATTTGTAGTAAACATATCTCTGCTATTCACGAGCCATAATTTGCGCTTATTTGACGACTTAATAGAAGAACCAGATCCAACATTCGACAATAGTACAAAGAAAATATGGTCCGCGAAATGCCTTTTGTAGACTGAACAAGCGTCTGCCGACATCGTTGGTTAAAAGTGTTAGTTACTCACTCGCAGGTGACAGGGTTCTCATGAACTTACAACTAGTACGCTGTGAAGAAATCTCACGCAGTGCGACTACACACAAATCTACTCACCCATCCAAAGACCTTCAGTCGATGCTAGGAAGCAATACTGAATTTGCGTGTTCACGCACCTAAGCTTCGCCCAATAATTCATACCATAAAGATGCGAATGTTGCACGAAAGGGCAGTAACAGAAAAGCTGACATTTCCTATGCACAAATGCCCATGTTTTTGACATTAAATGAGGACATCTAATGAATTGTTTCAGGAAAGAGGGTATAATTCGATCCTAAACTAAACTTAGACCAAAAGTGACGAAAGATATTCAAAATATCACCAAAGAAAAAGAACTGAAGGCAAAATAGCCAAATCGTGGCATGTATCGCATTGCAAAAAAAATTCAAATACACTAAAAGCTGAATACCGACAATTTCACATTCGAGGTAAACAAAATCGCAGTGTGGTAGTAAGCACTAGTCAATTTGACCTGGTTTCAATAGCACTTGGATGACACTTCGTTTTTGTGTCAGAAAATCAAGTTCTGTGAAGTCACTGGCAATGTATCGAGTACCAGCGCCGATCATTGTCAGTAATACCAGAAAAGAAGGCAATGCTTCAAATAACCGACTAACATGTGCGCACATCGATAACTTGAAAACGCATCATTTGCCATACCGGAATAAAGGAATGCGATTATTTGGAAAAGCGACTTATTTGAAAGGGAATAAGATGGAAGGAGAGGGGTAAAATCATGAAATCGCAGCAAAAAGGGTTACGCAACGAGAAAGATTAGATTAAAAATCGTACTTCACCGGGGAAACTTCGTCACTTGTGTCCACATGGAACCGGCATCATAAAAGTGGGGCCATTAAAATCAAAGAAAAGGCGGGTACCATGAAATGACTGAAGAGGAACAGAATATGCACTAATTCCTTAAAGCGTGAGAAACGATAACGGAATAACGTGAATAGTAAACAGCTAAATTCCATTAAAACTTGAAGCAAGATCTAGGGCGCAAAAAGCAGACTCGAAGTTTGCCTTTTAGAGACTTTGTCCCTTGTGAGTTCGGAGTCGACGGGATGCCCTTGGCCCCAGGGGTGGCAGACAGTGGTCCACTCCTTCTGACAACAGGAGTTACCGTTTTAAAACTTTTCGATCTGGAGGTCGCCTGAATTAAATGAATACGGTTAGGAATATGCTCGCTTAACGCTCAGCATTCATGTATGGAGTAAGACCATTAAACTCCAAAACTATGGGCCGGCCAACTGAGGTATTCAAAGGAGACTATTTATCAATGATTAGTACAGCTAATGAAACAACATCGATACATTAGACATGACGTAGCTATTCATTGCATACATTCCTCGCTCACAGCATGACCAAAGACAACTTATCTGTACTGTGCTAAAATGATGGCATAAAGAACATACGATAATCAAATATTAAGTTAGAGAACAAATACAACAATGCCAGCTCCGATGATGCTCCAGTTCATACTGATAGTATGAAAGCCAAGCAAAGGGCAAAAAGTGGAGTGGATGAAACGTGGGTGCTTGATAAATACTGTTGCAAGACGCTCACAGAACTGGAAATTTGGGCGGTTTTCAAGGCTCGAGGAACCGAGGATTTCGACTGGCTAGGAACGGCGGGTCGAATTGTTTTTGGGGCTAAAAATAGACAGGACTAAGAGGAACTATTTTAATTGACTTGATGGAAGAGGTCAAAGCAGAAGATAACAGAACCTACATGTGGAATTAGCATAAAACACCATTTAAGTACCCCTTTTGGCCCCGTTAACTACCACAAGCACTTGGGGAAGCACGGGTGTGCTGCATCAGAATCGGTTAAGTACCCATTTTATCCTGACAATTCGATCCAGTTGTCGATCCCGTAGCTTTGCTCTTCACGAAACACGATCGTGTAAACATCTGGCTACCCTCAGACCTAAGTCCTGCAGAAAGGACAGCCGGCCGCTTAAATGGTGGCTGTGGTTTGTTCATCGATTCGTTCACGTGTGGCACATTGGATGAGTTTGACCGTTTCAGAGACACTGGAGATAGTTTTGA